TTTTCCTTGTGCTATTATTTGCATCACCCATTGTAATAGTTTAGTACCTAGTATAGGGTTATCAATGGCGATAGTATGGATAAATTTATTTATTAAAAGCAGTGTTATTAATGGTGGAAGGCAGTTTGCCAAAAATCCGCCATAGCGGTGGCCTACGGCGCCGCCATAACCGCCATCCTTCACAAATTTAGCATGCCCGATTGTAAAAAATCCGCCACGCCTCCATTTGATAACACTGACTGAAAGGCTATTGCTTAAACTTTTGGACAAGTTTACTTTTGTTGAATAGATTTGTCTTCTTCTTGCTATGTCCCTATCATTATATCAGTTATATAATTATGTATTAGTGATTCTTTACGCGTATTAAATTTTAGTTAAGATGACTTAATTTAGTTTCCGGTTTTCTCGTTCTAATTTTCTTCTAGGATGACTTTTTCCTGTGTTAAAAATAAAATAATGAATAAATCTTTCTGGCCTTCTTAAGCATAACTGTAAGTCATTTCATGTTTGTTGTTTAATCATCCCTCCATAGTTGGCTGGAGAAATAGGGACGTGGTAGGTGATTGACTGGAGAGAAATAACAAGAGGTAAAATAATGTTTCTAATAATGTAATGCTATTAAGCTTGAATGTTGTATTTCACTATGAAGATTACAAGATATATATACAAGCCAAAAGAGATGAAAGAAAGGAAAGAAATCAAACGACCTAATCTACGGGATTTACCAAATCACCTAATTGATACATCAAATCTATACCATGTTTACATTAACAAATAATAACAAAAATATGGAATTGAGATTTATTGGAGGGAAGGAAGAATTTATACTATAGCTGACCAGTTCCCGATGAATGAACTTTTTCGGCCAACAGGTCGATTACAATAGTAAACTGTAGTCTCCCTGTCCAAAATCCTGCACCATTACTTATAAACAGTAGTCTATAATTTCGTCCCCCTAATTTATTCGCTAGAACAGGAAATATCCCGTAGTTCCAGTCCCCTAACTTATTCTCTAAGATCAGTCAAAGCCATCAATCAAGCTGAGTATCCTCTGCTGTTTTTTATCTGGGCTAGGTGCTTGATTGCCTTTTATCAGTTTGTGCGGTAAAGACATATTGGAGGGGTCCTATGTGGATACTTTTGTTTAGCTTGTTCAGTTGATTATGTTGGTGTATGTCTGTGTCTAGAAGCAGGCTGGTAAAAGAATGTTAATGATTCTTTAAGTACAAATTATTGTAACTCTTTATTGGACCCGGAGTATCTTCTTTCATTTCTCT